CCTTGGTGAAGTATCTATTCATGTCTTCTGCCCATTTTTTAATTGGATTGTTTGTCTTTTTGTTATTGAGGTGTTGGAGTGTTCTATAAACTCTAGAGATAAGTCCCTTGTCAGATATGTTATTACACATGCTGTTTTCAGGTCTGCATTCTTTCTCCTCTCCTTCTGTGGCTCTCATGACACAAATGTCAGACTTTTGTTGTTGTCCCACAGGTCCCCAGGGCTCTGTTGATGTTTTTTCCGTCTACGTTCATCTTTTTCTATGTTTTTCTGATTGATAATTTTTAGTGATCTATCATCAAGTTCACTGACTTTTTCCTGTAATCTGTATTCTGCTATTGAGTCCATTCACGGATTTTTTTTTTTTTTTTTTTTTTTTTTGCTAAAATTGGTATTTGATTCTTCTTTATATTTTCTATTTCTTAGATTTTAGCTTCTATTTTAATGTTCATGCTAGTGTATTTGCAACTACAAATTTGAGGAGTTTTATGATACCTTTTAAGATCAGTGTCAGAAAATTCCACCATCTGTATTATCCCACTGTTGGTGTCTCTTGATTCTCACTTCCTATGTGAGTGACTTCTTCAATCTATATGCCGAGCAAATAATCTGAGAAGCTGGACTATAAGAAGAAAAACGTGGCATCAGGATTGGAGGAAGAATCATTAACAGCCTGAGATACGCTGATGATACAACTTTGCTTGCTGAAAGTGAGGATGACTTGAGTCACTTACTGATGAAGATTGAGGCACACAGTCTGCAGTATGGATTACATCTCAATATACAGAAGACAAAAATCCTCACAACTGGACCAATAAGCAACATCACGATAAAATGGAGAAAAGATTGAGGTTGTCAAAGAATTCACGTTGCTTGGTTCTACAACAGAGACCAATGGAAGCAGCAGTCAGGACATTAGATGACATGTAGCACTGGGCAGTTTGGCTGCGAAGGGACTGTTTCAAGTGCTCAGGAGCAAGGATGTCTCCTTGAGGACTAAGGTGCACCTGACACAGGCCATTATATTTCCAATCACCTCGTATGCATGTGAGAGCTGGACAGTAAATAAGGAAGACCGAAGAAGAGTTGATGCTTTTGAGTTGTGGTGCTGGCGAAGAAAGCTGAAGGTACCATGGACTGCTAAAAGAACTAACAGATCTGTCCTGGAGGAAGTGCAGCCAAGATGCTTCTTGGAAGACTTTGTCTCACCTACTTTGGTCATGTTGTCAAAGGGGACCATTCCCTGGAGAAGGATGTCATGCTTGGTAAGGTGGAGAGTCGATGAAAGAGGGGAAGGCCTTCAACGAGATGGATTGACACAGTGGCTGCGACAAAGGGCTCAAGTATAGCAGGGATCATGGAGCTCACGCGGGATCGGGCAGTGTTTCGTTCTGCTGTACATGGGGTTGCTATGAGTCGGAAACAACTCAACAGCACTTAACAACAACAACATGTGAGTGGAGATGTTTGTGGATCCTCCTCTTATGCTGACTACTTTTGATTTCAATGTTTTGTGATGAAACTCTGATCTTTTTATCCACGTGCAGAAAGGGAATTTTGTTTGTTTTGCCTTCTGTGAACTGTAGTTACAATGTTCGTCCAGTTTTCAAAGTCTTTTGAAGTGCTCTATGGGTCTCCCCCATGTATGTATCTCTTTGACTGGGACAGAGACCTACCTGTTAGCTCAGTTCTCCAAGTCTTTAGTGTGTTAAATAGAACCAGATCTCTGCACACAGAGGTTATGGATTGAGTATCTCCCCAAAATACATGTTGTAAATACAAACCCCAATGCCTGAGGCTGTAATCTCGTTTTGGAATAATGTTTCCTTCATTTTGTTAATGAGGCCATATAAGGGTAGGCTGTTTCTTGAGCCAATACGTTTTCAGATATAAAAAGAGCAGATCAGGCACAGAACAATGAGGGTAAACAGAAAAAATAGACGCCATGAGGAGATCTCCAGGGAATGTCTTTAAGAATGCCAGAGGAGGAGAGAACAATCATGGGAGAAAGAAGGGCTGCTTATGCACAGGGAGACAGCTCAGGGGGCAGGAGTGCATGGAGGGATGGACACAGGGAAGAGGTAACTACGGGGAGGAAGTGGGAGGGGAGCTGTTGCATTGTGGGAAATTGTGGTCAATGTCATGAGACAGTGTATGTGAGCTGCTGTATGGAAAGTGAATTTGCTCTGTAAATATTCACCCAATCACAATTAAAAAAAAAAGAATGCCAGAGGAACCACTGAGACTATGGCCCTAGCTGCCCTTTGGGTCTGGAATTGAACCCACTCCTGTGGCTTCCAGCCAAACAAAAGGCATATGGGCTGAACATTTATATTAGGTAGATATAGTACTTCAAGAGATCAATCCTGGGAGAACAGAAGGGCTGTGTCTGCACAGGGAGACAGCTCAGGGGGCAGGAGTGCATGGGGGGGTGGGTCCCGGGGAGGGGTTAACTATGGGGAGGAAGTGGGAGGGGAGCTGTTGCATTGTGGAAAATTGTAGTCAATGTCATGAGACAAAATGTATGTGAGCTGCTGTATGGAGAGTGAAGTTCCTCTGTAAACTTTCACCCAAATCACAATAAAAAATAAAAAGAGAGAGAAAGAGAGGTTATTTCTGTGGAACCTGGGAAATGTATCCAGAGAGTTTCACCTGCATCTGTAATGTTTTAAACATTAAACTAAATTCTATATCATGCTTTTTCAAAAATATATTATTTAAATAAATGTTATCAATCTGAAACAGTATATGCTGGATTTCAAAGGAATAAAACCATGTATCTTCTCTTCTTTATGTAATGTCAGATTTTCTTCTAAATTTTGGTAATTTACCTCAATTTTTTTCAGCTTTATATGCTTATGAACCTTCAGTATGTCCACCATGGGTTTCCTTATGAACCTTCAGTGTGTCCACCGTGGGCTTCCTTCCACAAATATTGGCCTCGGTTCTTGGGACTTACCTTCTTGATAAAACCAATGGAAACGATGGATAAAATGTCACTTAACGCTTCCAACACTGACAAGTCACAGAAAGCACAGCTCGGTAATAAGCTGAGTGAAGGCAAGAACTCAGAGAGGTGAGCTTCAGAACCTCTGCCTTTTCCTCTTAAGGGCCTTTGCTAATTCAGGCAAGGTTCAAATTTGGAAGGTTCCCCAATACCGCTCAGAAGTACTCATAGAATTCAGCAAAGTTGTTATACTGACAATTAGAGTTTATTACAAAAACAAAACAATACAAAAAAACACTGCCATGGAGTCAGATCTGACTCATAGTGACCTCTCTCCTTGGGTTTCCGAGGCGATATCACTATAGAAGTAGATTGCCCAACTTTCCTTCTGAGGAGTGGCTGGTGGGTTTGAACCGTCAGCCTTCTGGTTAGCAGTCAAATGCCTTAGGCACCATGATACCAGAGCTCCAGAGTTAATTACAGCAAGTTAAAAAGAAAAAAATAAAATAAAATGAAAGGAGATAGATGGAAATCAGGAGTGGAAAAAAATGCACAGGGCAGAGAAGGGTCTAGAAGAGTTTCCAGTACAGACTTGCCAGCTGTCTCCTCCTGGTGTAGTCATGCAGACAGCAACCATTTCTCCCCGCAACAATGAGTGGCAACAGGCATGGAGAATTGTCAACCACAGAAGCTCACCTGAACCTTGCGGTTCAGAGTTTTTACTGGGGGTCCGTCACATAGGCAACAGTGACCACCCGCAGCCCCATCATGAATCGTACTGTGATGGGTTATCAGGTGTGAACCAAACCTCACCATTAGTTACACTGTTACCACAGACCATCCAGTGTGACCCAAAGTCCCCGCAAGCAAAGGCACTCTTATCAGGCAGAATATTCAGGGGATTCAGGATTGCTTACCGAGAGCTGGGGCAAATGGCCCGATCTTTGTTTGGGCAAGCTTACTCCTTCACAGCTCACCGTATCTGTCAGCGTGTCAGGGACAAACCTGCCTGCCTGAGGTAGGACATGAGGTAAGGGTCCCTCGTGCTGAGGCTCCAGTAGAGTAACTCCAGGGCCTGGTCCCCCTTCTTCTCCACCAGACTCAGCAAGGTCTTGTTCTTCTTCTGACGTGTCTGCTCTTGCTCCACCAGTTCCTTCTCATCCTCACTGAGGACCTCCCTGTCCTGGAGGTCATCCAGCACCCCGCCCAGGCACCACATGCGGGCCTGCAGTTGCCGGTAGTGTTCCTTCACAAAGGCTGCGCCTGGGTGGGAGGAAGGGTTACAGACACAGAGAACAACACGTCACTTACGGGTTCAGGACCTGTGCCCGGCCAAAGTCGGTTATCTGGGCTGGGCATGCTGCTGCTGGTCCCACACACACCTTCACGGGGTCCACAGCCCACTGGCAGTGGCCCGTGAACTGAGCGACCTTCAGGGAAGGTCTTCCTCCTCCCTTCCTATAAGCTCTGACAGCCTCTCCTCTCTGAGCTGGTTTCATTTAAACACTAGACTGGACTCTAGATTGCTGTACATCCATGTGTTCACCTAACAATCCAACAAAAATCACCAAGCCCACCAATCGTCAGAAACTGCACACGCTGCTAGACTTCTGGAGATAGATTAGGCCGATGCCTGGCCCCCAAGGCTTTCCTGTTAAATATGTGCAGGAGGAAACGTAATTGGATAGCTACAACCAAGGAGAAACAAAGACACCCTGGAGGGAAAACAGGGGAACTTTCCATCATGCAGACTCAGGATGGTTCATGTATTAAATCTCTCTGTAGCCTTGGCCACGTTCAGTCTCTTCCCTGCATCATGCTGTTGTTGCTGTAAGGTGCCATCGACTCAGCTCCGACTCATAGCGAGTCTATGCACAACAGAATGAAACACTGCCCAGTCCCTACATCATAGTGTCTACTATTTATGTACAATGGTGCCTCTCGAAACTTTTGTTAACCAGGATGGCAGAGATAGTGAATGCCCATTCATCTGGGGCTATAATCCAAACAGCTTACTAAAATGATGACATTTCTTTTCTGTTCTAGGATTTATCTTTAAGAAAAATAAATAAATCTCGGGAAATTGACTCAGGCCAGTGTGACGCGCTGAGTTCTCTTCATTGAGGAGTGTCAGACCATGCTCAGTTTTCTCCCGTGTAGTCTCTTGTGCCATGTGGGGCTTGCCGTGTTGACTGTGGAGCCTGGTGTCTACGCCAACATCATGGAAGGCACGGTGGGGACAGGGAGCCATCATGCACCTGTGTGACATCACAGCTGTCATGTGATCCAATGGACCAGCCTCACCTGAAGGTGGTTCCATCTCTTGCCCTCATTCCTTTGAGCCAGGATACTCCCTTTATACATTAAGTCCATTGAAGGTGGACTTGCTGTCCATGGCCACACAAATGGTTTCTTAGGTACAAAGGACATTACAATGGCTGTCTTGTGTGATTTTTAAAATTAATATGCAAATGAGGGCATCCGAAGACAAGTATTTGGAGACCTGGATTCACTTACTAGCTGATGACAGACTTTATGTCTCCAAGTGTGGCTCCTTTATGGTAAATAATTTCTTTTTCTCCTCCAGACAAATTCCAGTTACATTAACCAATGCCCTGCTCATGGCAGTTCCTGATTTTCAATCAGTGTCCAATGCCAGTTCCCTGCTTCCCATCTCAGGGTGACCCACGGCCAGTCATCCTCGCTGTTTGCAGGAATCCTAGTCCCCCTTTGCTTAAGTCCCCAAATCCATATTCTCTCCCATGGACTTTCACTGCTGGGCTCTGCCTCTCTAGCCTCATGTTTACTCTGTTTCCCTAACAATTCATGTTCGTCATACAAGCTACTTCTACCTCTACTTCCCCATGCGACATTTTTCTCCCATAATTTGCTGTTGTTCTGTCTGCATATTGAACCCTAAGCCCCTTGTGACCTAAATCCTGCTCATTGTGGTTGTCTCTGAAATTAGCTGGTCTTTGTAAGTGGCAAGAACAAGAATGAACCCTTGGGTGTTACATGAAGTCATCCAGAAACACCCTTACACCAGACACATCCCTGTAGCTTTTCACAGAAACATTCCACTGACCTGAGAAAGTGGGCGAGGCCAATGCATCACCAACGTGGAGATCCACTAGGACAGAAGGACAATTGGAGAATGAGATGAAGATCAGTCATAAACCATTATTGGCCTTTCTAGTCTCTGGTGCAACCGACTGAAACCATTCCATTCCATTCCATTCCATTAACTAGGAACCCTGTTTTGAAACTTAATACCCTTCACAGCCCATTCAAGTAGAAGGTTCCTCACTGCCCATTAATTTATCAGAGAAAGGAAGAAATCTGTCCAACGTTCCTTCAGTTTCTATTTGCAAGCCAGTGTGTTAACAAATATGATGGCTACCAAAAAAAAAAGATATCATGGTGTCTGTAAACTAAGAGTCTCTATAAAGGCATGTTAGGAGTGTAATAACCACGTTAAGTGACAAACTTGAAAATCTTTTTTAAAATGTGACACTGCTTGCGTAGATGATAGAACTGAAGTCTGGATACCTTCCTAAGTTGCTGGAAGCGTCTCCCCATTGCTGGATGTTCCAGTGGGCTTTATTTCCCCACTGCAAACACTGCTCCAAGAAATATCTTTGCTTGATCTACAGGTAGACAGATGGGTGGACAGGCTGAACAATCAGGCATGTCTATGCCCACGACCATGTATAGGGTTGGAAGACAATGTGTCTACAAGTATATTTGTCTGTTCTGCAAGAATGTCCAGGTATATAGTAGAGCTGACCAGGGACGAGGTTGTAGTCACTTCTTGGCCACAAGAAGGTATAATATCGCCCGCTGCTTTTAAAAGTATATATTGATTTCTCCATCACTGTAGCTACTCTAGCGGTGGGTGGCCTTTACAAAGGATTCTGTCTTAGAATTTTTGTTGTTCATCCAGGGACTTAAGGACCCACAGGTCATCTCTGGCAAGGGTCTGCGAGTGACTAAGCCCCCTGAGATTACGTTTATGGTGTTGAGTTTGTGTGAACCGATAAAACACTTTCTAAGAATTTTCCTCAGCTTGTCTAAAGGCATTTACCACCACAAAACCAGAAACGTGACTACACAGGGTGTCGTAAAGCTGTGTGGGAGATGGAATTAAATGGCCTTTATGCAACTTCTGACTCCTATAATTACTATTTCCTGTTCTTTATCCCTTAGGTATCAGAGGCTCTATTCTCCACACCAATGTCCATCCTCTCCCCCAAGCACATGTTCACATTTTCTTCCCTAGAGATGTACCATTACTGCCATCTTTGTTTCACTCCCATTAAATAGAAACTGATAATAGATTTGTTTTCTTCTCTGGGATGGGACCAGAAACAAACATTCACCTACCTGGTTTCACCAAAGTCTCCCAGACCAGATTCCCAAGTCTTTTGTCAGTAATTTCTAGATGGATGGGTTCCTTCATCTGTCCAGCATAGACTTTCGAGAAGGGCTGGATCTCTTCAGGACTCCTGTAGGATAACTTCAACTCCTACAGAAAACATATGCGGTGCAGTGAATTCCTTGGTATGGCTTCTCTAGCCATAGCCTTTGTAACTCCCACCAGATTACTGGATGGGACCATGCAAATAAGGTGCATAGGACTCTGACGTTGGGATTGGTGAGTTCTGTCACTCTGCCAGGCTTAAAATGAGCCCTCCTAGAGGCAGAGAGTAGATCTCACTGCCATCAAGAGAGAAGAGCTGGAGGTGAAGTGGAGCGGGTCCTTGGACCGAGATCCCTGTGCTGGACCTCCTTAGCTGAGGGATGCCCCAGCAGGGGGACACCCTGGTGGAGAGATGATGGCAGTGGAATTTAGAGGCACGAGACAGAGCAGCAGGCTTACCTGGCCTGCAGAGGCAGAGGCCAGGACGAGAGGCCAAGGACCAGAGAAGTGTGTCTGAGGGCACAGCAGAAGGAACACTGTCCTGATCGAAGAATTGTATCCTGAGCGTGTTCCTGAACCGATTTGTAGCCTGTTGCTTCTCTAATAAACCCCATAATCATCAGTACTGTCCATGAGTTCTGTGTGGCCATGGCAATGAATTATTGAACTCAGCAGAGACATAGTGAGTCCCGTGGGAGGGATGGCTGGTGTCAGAATTGGTAAAAGGCTGGAGGGTGGGAGCATGCCTGGCCTCATAGGAATAAGCCTTGGGCTGCTGTTGGTGATTCTGTCTTCCTCTTGTGAAATTAGAGGTCAGAAGATTCCACTTCCATGTCCTTTTTGCAACATATCACTTCTCTTGAAAGAGTGGAGTGTGGAAAGATTGGTTCCCTAGAATGAACAAGCCAACGGAACTTAACCTCTGTTTGCTGCATGCATCCCGTGGCTGCTTGAAGACTAAAATGGGTGGAGAGAGGTCAACATGTTTTTACAGGTACAATTGGAGGAAATACAATTATTTTATGGAAGGAAGAGTAGCTTCGGGCTCAACTGTCATGGTCAGAAAAAAATACTGGTGCTATTGACTGTACACAACTCTTCAGTTCTTGAAGACCTTCATTAACGTTGCCAGCAGATCAGAATCTGACACTCTACAGAGAGGCAAGAGTCCTGACCAGGGACTGGATCCCTTCTCCCTCAGCCTAAGTGGGGACATCAAGGGTCATTTTGGATCACTCTGGTCTGTACCCCACCCCGTCAGGATTCCTAGGGACTGCTACTGGCAGGGAACTGGCATTAACCTCCAAGCCAGCGCAGAATGAAGAAAAGCTTGGCTGATACAAATGTGATTCTTTCTGGAGACAAGCCTCACAGCTCTGGAAAAATAATAATAATAATTTTTTAAAAAATCATCATCAGAGGTCAAATAATTGGCTCTCAGTCTTTCAGATGGAAGACGATTCTGAGCAGAGCTCACCTTACTTGAGTATTTATCACCTCACGTGAAAATTTTGCATTTCCTGTCTCATGTCTACTATCCTCAACTCTCACAGGAATGCACCGTGTGTTATTCATCTCTGTCTCACCAACGGCTGTGCCAAGTCCCGCCACAGCCAGTGAAGCTGCTTGTCTACAGGACAATCAAGTGTCTGAGCAGCAGTGTCTGCTTTGCATTGGTTGATTCAGACTTCGTTTGTTTTCAATTTACTTTGTTGTTGAGAATATACACAGGGAAACGTGCATCGATTCAATAGCTTCTCCATGTACAATTCAGTGACACTATGACATTCTTTGAGTTGTGCATCCATCCTCATCTTCCTTTTCTGAGTTGCTCCTCCCCCATGAACATAAATTCACTGCCCCCTAAGGCTCCTATCTAACCTTTCAAGTTGCTCTTTTCAATCTGATCCCACATAGACAGCTTTTTTTTTAATTTTATTGTGATTTGGGTGAAAGTCTACAGAGCAAATTCATCTTCCATACAGCAGGTCACACATATTTTGTCTAGTAACATTGACTGTAATCTCCCACAATGTAACAGCCTTCCTCCCACTTCCTTCCCATAGTTACCTTTTCCCTGTGCCCTTCCCTCCATGCACCCCTGCCACCTGAGCTGTCTCCCTGTGCAAACACAGCCCTTCTAGTCTCCCATGATTGCTTTCTCCAAGGAGTGTATCTACCTAATGTGAATGTTCAGCTCATATGCCTGTCTTGTTTGGCTGGAAGCCACAAGAGTGGTTTCAATTCCAGACCAGACAAATAAAACGGAACAGTCCCAATGTTACCAAACCACAAGGCAGGCCATTAATTCAAATCCACTGAAAAGTCCCAAGGTCAGCAGAGCACGGCAGGCTGCTGAACAACGACATGACTACATGCAGGGTTCAAGCGTGCCATAGGCTACAGACCATTCCCAAAGCTGTTTCTTATACACAGGAAGGAGACAACATAATCAAAGGCAGCTACTCAGCTGCTCCCAGTAGATTCCACCATGGAGTTGATTATCAGTCTCATCATGGGGAATACTACATCCATCTGCCCAGCCACTCAGCCAGGCCCAACCAAGTTGACACACAAATGTAACCACCACAGCATGGTGTACCAGTTCCTTGGACTAATTGTTTCCACATGTCTTTGGTTTTCTTCATTCTTCTTTGATCTGGACGGGAAGAGACCCACTGTTGCAACTAGGTGGCCACTTTGCAAGCTTTTAAGATCCCAGTCACTACTCGCCAAAGCAGGATGTGGAAAATGTTTTTGCATAGTATGTTATGCCAATTGAGCTTGATGTCCCCTCAGACCACGGTCCCGAGGCCACAGGTCCAACTACTCACTCCCTCTGGGTAACTGGCTGTAGCCAAGAAGTGACCACAACCTTGTCCCTTGTCAACTCTACTATATACCCAGAAATTCTTACACAACATACTAATACACTTGTAGAAACACTGTCTGCCAACCCTATACATGGTCATGGGCACACTCCCTGCTGCAGAGACATACCTAATAGTTCAGCCTGTCCACCCATCTACCCACCTGTATATCCATGTTTGCCATCACTGACAATGTAGTACTGTATGTGCAAAAGGGTTCATCTTTGTTGTATGTACCTTCCATGCACCTCTCTCTGTCTTCCTCTTCTTCAATGTCACCATGTTGATCACTCACATTTGCTACATTGCCCTTCTCTTCACCCAAATCAATACTTGTCTCGACCTATCTAGCAGTGTTCCCTCCTCTCCCCTCCCACTCCTTGTAACCAACAAAGAAAATTTCCTTCCATATATAAACCTTTCCTTGGCTTTTTACAATAATGGACTAACACAATATTCGTACTTCTGTGATTGCCTTATTTTACTCAGCATAAAGTCCTTCAAGTTCACCCATGTCATGTGGTGTTTTGCAGATTCTATGTTATTCTTTAGGGTTGCATAGTATTCCATTGTGTATATGTACCATAGTTTGGTTATCCATTCTTCTGTTGATGAGCACCTAGGTTGTTTCCATCAAAAAGATTATTGTAAATAGTACTGCAGTGAACACGGGTGTGCATATATCTCTTCTTGTCCTGGCTCTCATTTCTTTAGGATATATACCTAGTAACGGGATTGCTGGGTCAAATGGTATTTATTTCTAATTCCAACTTTTTAAGGAATCGCTACACTGCTTTCCACAGCGGTTGTGCCATTTCACAGTCCCGCCAGCAGTTTATGAGCGTCCCAATGTCTCTGCATCCTCGCCAGCATTTGTTATTTTCTGTTTTGTTGGACTTGCTCCTAGTGCTGGGCCAGAGGGTATCTCGCTGTCGTTTTGATTTGCGTCTCTCTGATGGCTAATGATCGTGGACATTTCTTCATGTGGTTGCTGGTCACCTGAATATCCTCTTTGGTGAAGTGTCTATTCATATCTTCTGCCTATTTTTTAATTGGATTATTTGTCTTTTTGTTGTTGAGATGCTAGAGTTTTCTATAAGTTTTAGAGATAAGCCCCTTGTCAGATATGTTGTTGCCAAATATTTTTTCCCAATCTGTAGGTTCTCTTTTTACTCTTTTGGAGAAGTCTTTGGAAGCACATACAAATTTAATTTTTAGAAGATCCCATTCATCTAGTTTATATTCTACTGTTTGTAGATTTTGGGTTATGCTTGATAGTCTATTTATGCCATATATTAGGGCCCCTAAATTTGCCCCAATATTTTCCTTGAGGAACTTTATAGTTTTAGGGTTCACATTTAAGTCTTTGATCCATCTGGAGTTAGTTTTTGTCCATATAGATAGCTTTTAAAATAGCATAATGCTCAAAGCAGATATTTTTCTAAACTGTTGTTTGGTTTTAAGAAGACTTTGGTGGATATTTTTGGTTTGAGGTTTAAAGATTACCTCAGGGCAATAGTTTCAGGGGTTTGTCCAGCCTCCATTGCTCCAGAAAGTATGGATTCCATTAGAATTTGAAATTCTGTTCTGCATTTTCCCCCTTTTGATCAGGATTCTTTTATAGACTCATTGATCAAAATGTTCAGTGATGGTAGCCAGGCACCATCCAGTTCTGGTCTCATGGCAAAAGAGCCAGTTGTCATGGAGGCAATTAGCCACACAGTCCATTTCCTCCTTCTGTTCCTGACTCCTCTTCTTTCTCTGTTGCTTCAGGCAAACAGAGATCAGTTGTCATGCCTTGGATGAGTCAGAGCTTTTAAAGGAAACTGGGAAGTATAAGCAGACCAACAACAGACACTTTACTACATTCTTATGATGTAGTATACTTAGGAAAAAGCAATAAATTGATACTTGCAATTGGGTTTATAACTTATATTTTCTGTGTGACTTTGGGGAAAATCATTTTTTGTACTTTAAAAAACAAAACAAAACAACTCACTGCCAATGAGTCAGACCCAACTCATAGCAACCCTTCCTTGGGTTTCCAAGGTAGTATCACTATGGAAGTAGACTGCCCAATCTTCCTTCCAAGGAGTGGCTGGTGGGTTGAACCGCCAGCCTTCTGGTTAGCAGTCAAATGCCTTAGGTGTCCAAAAAAATAAATATATTAATTAACCCTCTCAATTTTGCCAACCTTCAGTCTTTCTCTTTGTCTTCCTGGATTCTATAAAAGAA